GCTTGCCATTGTATTTCCCAATACAGATCGGCTGCTCATATTGTATATATTACATATACTTAAGCAAATTCGCGCGATTAGATTGGCTGCTATCTATGAACCATTTGACCATTGGTAACACGCTCACGTTAGGTGTTTCCTTAAAATGTGAAAAGGTTTTCTAACAAAAAAGACTGAAAACGCCCGATAAAAAGGAACAATAAAGTTGTCTTGTTGCTTTTTTGTTTTTGTTTTTGTTTTTGTTTATTATTCAATTACTCAATTCAATTATATTCTTCATCGTTCTTCCGTAAAGACTTTCAAAACTCATAATAACAGACAAGACACAAACACTTTTGTTTTCTTCTGAAATAACGTCGATAATGGAGCGTTCTATCATAGGTAAAWTCATGGAAGTTGCCCTACTATGAATTTGACCTAAATTGCTTACCTCAACTATTCTTAACTAAAATGACTAAATTTTCACTCATTCCGTCCAGATGTTAAGACTACTTCAGACGTTAACTCTTCTTCGGACTTGACTATCGCAAAAACGTGAAATGTATAATATATTTTTTTGAGCATTTCCCCAGAAAGATTGTTTTCGAGCCATCAGAAAGTTTTCGAAATTTCTTCGTTTAACTAACCGYAATTGATTTCAGCCAATCACCGCACAATTTTACAATCGAGTAATTCAGGAGTTTCTATCAAATTCACATTAATAGGATAACATTTTTCTCAAGTTATGTATAGAACAGAGTGACTGCATGCTTGTTTGCTAAATATTTACTTTTACGGAAAAACGCGACAGATTTCTTGTGAGTTTTTTTCATTGTTCATTCATGCGCATAGAATAAATGAAAGTAAGCAAAAGAACTTGTCAGTTGCTTTTTAACTTTGATTTATACTAGCTTTTAGACGTCTAACCCAGATGTCCAGACGAGCAGCCCTTGGGCAATGGAGGTTATCGAAAAGAGTCAAAATATTTTGAAATGAGTTTAGAATGATGTGATAAACACTCCTTGTACTAACACTAGAAACCAATAATGACTATGGCGAATTAAGAAAATGATATCTAACCTTATATCCAGAGCTCTTTACTTGACGATCTGACAGAGGGAAATGATGAAGAAGGCCTTGATATCTTGACTTTATAYATAGCTTCAACTGTATATAATTATAATTAGTAATTATAATTATAGCGGTACCTCAAATATAAACTTTCAAGATTAAACAAAACCACGTAAAACAATARCATAATGAAACTATATTTATATCATTCGGATATGAAGAACTATACAATCCAAAGGTTGAAGTATTTCTTCTAATGAAAGACTATTAGAAAAACAGGCCGTAGGCATAGCAAAATGGTCGCGGTAAATAGAATATCTTTTTGGATTGTTGTAATTAGTGCTATGACGGGAAATAGACTGCCGGATAAGATTCCAGGATCAGTCGGCGTCTTGCCTGTTTTTGATATTAATGACATTGGGTTAAAGAGAGCAGGAAACGTTATAGGTAATTTAGAGAAAACGAAAACTTTGCATTTTGGATTTACATGAGTATTGTAAACATGCCAATTAGTTCTGAGATCGGATTGTCTTTGAGAACCCAACGTTTCATTAAAGCTCGATGATATTAAGGTTTTTAACTGGTCGTTTTTCAGGTTTAGCCTAAATTTTTTAAAGACATCCCATCTTTTCTGGTGCAAAATATTTTTKATTCGTCATTTTCTTGCTATATCTCTGTTGAAGATAGTTCTCAAAACATTTTCAAAAGATAAAAATAAAATAAAAAGGAAATAAGTCAGTATTATAATATAAATTACCWCGTTCCGGCTGTGAGAAATGATACACCGCAAAAATAAATACCTTAACTTTCTTTCCCCTATTTTCATTATCGCAAAATATTTTACCAATTAAATAGAGATATGTTCTAAAAAAGATTTCCAATATAACATAATTTTGCCATAATTATTTATCACTTGTTTCAATTATTGAGTGACCTCTTTTAACTTTTAATATCGCACATTTTCATTTTGTCGATTGTTCTTGAAGCAAGTTCTAGTCTAATGCCTCTCAAAATTCAAATCGATTTAAATCGAACGAATTTTGGTTCCAGAGTAGGCCTTAGTCCTCATGAAATTATCAAGTTATAAAATCATCTTAAAGGTTACTGGTTAGTTGAGTTCTGCGATCGGTTTTAAATTAAAGTCCCCCCCCCCCCCCCCCCCCCKCCTCTCTGATCTTCTTCGTTGATTGAACATTGCACCCCCTATATTTTAAATCATAAGTCTGCATTATGCCCCCCTGGATACGTAAATTCCTCTTCTTCCTGACAATTATTAGGCATCAAAAACTATTTTAATTTTTTTTAAATCTGACATTAACATGATTGAGAATCGAATCGTTTCAAGTTCCTCCTTTTATTTTCAGTTTCTTTTACGAGAAGTTATCTATATTCCCCCCTTTGGCATAACCTGCAAAAATATGAGTTACCGCATAAAGCCATTGCTCTTTAATATACTTTCTTGAAATGGTATGAGATGTTAGTGTTCAATATATGCGTGTCAGGGTTCGTATCATAGTTGTAGCTACATGTATCAGGAGCAACTTCATTCAAATCTCTATAGACCATTCAAAACTGGTGAATTTCGTTTATAAAATGATAATGGTAATTTCATTACATGTTTTTTATGATCATTTGTTAGGCTAGAGCGGGTCAAGATGTATGCAGCACGGGCTGTTAAGAAAAGCKTCACACGAGCGTTGAAAATATTAACAAATAAATCCCTTCCAACATCTCAATAGTTCTTGCTAAAAGAGAAGTCTCTTACTTTGGAAGAATGASATGTCACCTCGGACATTTAGCGCTCAACGCGTATTTACTTCCCCAGCTATTTTTTGCGTATTAGTAGAAACTGACGGAAAAAACCCTCGGGAAAAATTTATTTTTTATTTATAGAACCAAAACCGGAATCAAACGTGAAACATGTTCTTTCACGATTCCCCTATCATATGGCGAGGGTGATATTGCATTGGATTTTATTAGAGCTGTACGCTAGTACGGTACTGCGCTGGTTTCATTAAAATATAAACAACCTAAGCTTATTTTCAAATTTTGTTTTACAGCAAATACTAACTCTTGCCATCATTTGGTTATACTAGCTTCGTCCAATAGAAGTGAACTATGAGCCCCTTGTAGTAGATACTTCTTGAGACTATACATGCATTCATGATGTCAGTGAGCTCTGATCTGTGCCGACCATTGAAATTCTAGACTTAAAGTTTGGCTGAGGACACCTTGATGATTACTTATGATTACTTACTTATGTATCCAGTGTGAATATAGGTAGACTACTTTCATCAGAATTCTTTTTAAAGAATTAGAATGCAGTACGATCTACCCTAGAAAAAGCAAAAAAGCCATTAATTTGAAGAGTTACTAAAAACCGAATAGTCTACCACGGTCCATTTCTTGACAATTGAATTGGATTGCTGTAAAWAAATGAATCTATACCTTCCATCCATACCATGATAAAATCATTAAATTTATGTGCTTTCTAGCCACAAAGCCTGTTGATTTTATTTTTTGTGAACAAAACAAGCCTAAATTCAACCATWCTTTCACCGTATCCCAAGTACCCACATTTTGATTTCCACCTACCCTCCCCCTTGCTTATTTCTTACAAGTCCCTTATTGATTTCCGTCTTTATTCCATTTCTCTTGTGCTATTAATTGAAATTACGATTGTTCCGACGATTTTTCAAAAAAAATCGACTGCCTGACGTTTTTTTTTTTTTTTTAAAAATCGACTGCCTGACGTTTAGTTCTGGGACTCAAACATCAGGCTGCGAAAACTATTTTAAAAACTAGTAAAACACCGCATTCTTTTCAAGTCAGTAAAATTTCATTTCTTCACTTTTTTGTTAAGCTAATAAGTTCAAGTTAAACTGTTCGTGTGCTTCATGATTACAATTCTGCAACATTATAAAAAAACTTTTCAAGATGGAAACTAGTCGACCAAAGTGCTTCCCTGTTTATCTAACCTGGTTCCCAAAATGTTCATTTAAATGTGGTTGGTTATTTAAGGGAGCTAAGAGTTATGAGATTAACATAAGGAAAACAATTCGGCTTTGTGCAAATTATGATACGAAATTAAGACGTCAGAAAAATAAATTGCTATCGCCAATTTTACAATTTTTATTGTCTTTGAATAATTTTTCAAACCTGGCACTTCGGTCTCCATAACAACAACGCTGGTCTACGACCACCTGCTTCACGGTTCAAAATAACTAACGAAATAATAACGTATGAATTGGAAATGAACCGCCTCGTGTTGGCTGTCTTTTTTTCCGTCTTGTTTCWAGGCTAAATTGGACTAAAACGGCTTTAAACCTTTTCAACGACAAATGGTATATTAGTAGTATTAGTAGGTATCATATTTTAATCTTTGGAGGATGATTTAACACCTGGATATACGCTCTTGTAAGTACGAGTTGTGAAGTATCTGCTCGGCTATCTTGGCTATCAATAGATTTCTTGCATTTATAAAACACATTTATTTCGAGTGGTCTTCATAAGAATGTCATGTTCGATATTCGCTTTTGCGATAATTGATATTTATTTGCAGTCATTGTTCTTTTGTATTTGACTACTTGTCAAATGATATTCAGCTGGAAATCTATATAGGACAATGACAAGGACTAAAAAGTGATTTAAGTGAAAGTTACTCCAACTACTGCATTTAACTTACAGCATAAATCTTATGGGTCGGTTCCCCTATTTCATTGTGATTTCAGTACAATTAGTTACAAAACATCATGTGTATGGCAGCGATCTTTAGATCCTCTCGATGTAGTTTACTAATTATTGTGTTTTTAGATTGCAAAGCTGCAAAAATGAGGTGGGCTGTTTTTGCAGTGTACTATATATGTACACTAATTGATCTGACAGGTAATGCAATGTCAGCCTCTGATCAACTTTAATCCCTGGTTCTTTAATAATGATACTTKAATTATAGATGGCAAATCAATGCAGAGGAATCGCGTGAGCGCAGTAGATCTTCCTCCAGGTAATTCCTTTTGCACARTACAGTATACAGTGCTTGTWCACGAAGCATTATATTTTGTTTTATTAAGGAATTGCCTTCTTTCTCCAGCAACGACTTTCTTTTCACATCCCACGTGAACCTCATACGCTAAGTGGCTGAATGTTATAAACAAAAGACTCTTTTTAAAGAAAAATATTACGAAAGGAATTGACAATAGTATATATCCACTCAATAAAGGAATTGACAATAGTATATATCCACTCAATAATAATTTTTATTTGTATCAGAGTCGTGTGCAGTTGATCGATATAAATGTGATAACGGCAAAAAGTGCATTCCCTTGAAATGGATTTGTGATGGATACAGCGACTGTCAAGACATGCGCGACGAAAGAAATTGCATTCCAACCAATCAAAGTAAGTATCGCGTCCGAACTAAAAAAAAAGGTTGCTTTCCATTTAGGCAGAACTGGCCAGCCAGTCCACTCTATTTAGAGGTATATAATGCTTTTTGTCAACCATTTTCAGTCATTTCGAGGTTTTCTGTAGAATAATGGATAGAATTTGAAAATTTGAATTTCCTAACTAAATGGGAATGATATATAATGACATTTTCTCTGAGTCTGGCCAGCCAGTTCTGACAAATGGAAAGCGCACTAGTTTACCGCTAGTTCCCACCATTGTGAGTTTTTATCTTTGGTTTGGTATGCTTGTATCTTTTTGTGCATGGATTTTTGGTTTCTTTCTTGTTTCTGAAGTTTTTGAATGCTTTCAGCAACGATCGCTGACCTGCTGACTGATACATTCAGGAGTAATTATTCTAAGAAAATTATACTTGATTCACTATATTAAAATCAATCTTCTACAGCAACATTGGTTGAAAACAAAGACGCTATCAGT